AAAGATTTAAATGCAAGAGCACATACGATTCTTCTATCTGAATAAAAGTCATTGGACCAGTTAATTTCATCCATGTTTGATTTGCATCTGGATCTTTCAGCCTGTTCACTTGTGAAATGTTCCTTGGTTTTGATTGGCTAACATAGGTTAGGTAATTATTATTAGCTAACTGGCATGAAGTGCTTAATTTTTATTGGCTGCTTAACGCGTTTTTTTAAGGATAGCAGTGCTTTTTTCCAAACTTCAGTTGTAAAACACAGATAATTCGTTGCATCGTATAAATGTCCCAACGACTTTTTGTTCACGATTGCGTGTAGTTGTCCATGTCAAAACCGCCTGGTTTTAGATTCTTTCATTCGATCAGGTTGAGGCCAAAACTATCCTAAAACAATTCATATTTAGATTGATTTTAAATTTGTCTTTGCCAGGTGGACCTGCTGGGGGCAACATTTTAGCGGAAACGACCAACGCACGAGGGGAAAGCCAGGATTATAGGTATGGCGTAAATGAGTCGCCTCTTATGTTTTCGGTTATGTTTAGCGTGTGTTGCGCATAAGGTTTATTTAAACATTTCAAATGCTCAACTTAACGACCCATGCTTTATGTCTACATATTTTTTTTTTAAATCTGGAAGACTGAGAGCCAATGACACATTTTGGGAATTCTATTAATGCAGTCATTACATTGTATTCGGTATTGAATCAGTGAGATATATACAATAAGTGTTGCAAATTTTACTGATTTCTTATTCTTGTAACACATCTAGTTTATCATGCCATTGTAATAAATGGTTATTCTCTGGAACAGCCCCTTTGGCTTTTCCTCTTTTTCACCCATTTTCTACCGAAGCGTTTTAAGTTTCCCGTTTCTGCAGTGCTAGTTCACTCCACGCATTTGTTAATTTTTCATTCTTTTTCTCAGCCCATTTGTTCCTCAACATCCGCATGAAAAAATTCTACAAAAGAATTCTACAAAACCACATGGCCTACAGGCCCTGTTTCTGTTGGTCGCTCGGACCATCCAAAACGAGCCAGGCTGTAATCACTATAATTTTTTTTCCCCAAACAATTGACAATGTACACGGAAAACAAAAGGATGTAGGCGTGAAATAAATGTTCCTTGCGCGTTGAGGCAAAATGTCGGACCTCTGAGTCGAAATGTTCTTCCAACTCTATATTAATATCAACACTCTTCACATTGCTTACACTTCTCCTCCACTGACCTCACTCTCTTCGTACATTACTTTGACGGCTTTTTCATCGCCAACACCCACTGTTACACTAAAACCTCTAGTTCTATGCCTACACGCTGTGGCTTTCAAGGCGAATGACAATTCTAATTGTATTCGCATAGGTGATTACGTGATCAGTTGAGGTATCGTTATCTAACTGTGGGAAATGAAAAAATTAGCATTGGGCATTTCCTATTTCATAGTAAATTTCGTCTTCTTGATTATTATTTCCACGTTTAATTCCCGCATTGTAATATGCAGAGGACGTTACTGCGTCCTGTAGTGACTGATAATTTTGAGTTGCGTGTGGCAGCTCTTCCAAAGGTATAGGTTTGAGTTCCATATATGAAAGTTCTTCTGGTACATACTGGTCACGTGTTGAGTCATGCTGCTTGACTTCATCAGAGGTGTCCCTCCGTGGCGTCTTTTCTCTGTTGTTATTCACAGCTCGTCTAAGGCGCCATGTCAGCAGGCTAACTGCAATAAGCAGCACCAAAACAAGGCAGGACAAAGCGATGACAATAATACGGTAGATATTGGAAAAACCTGTTAGACGTTTAGAAAAAGGAGAGAGAAAAACATAAAGAGTTTTGTCATGAGTTTCGCAGGTTGGCCACAGATCACGAATATTCTGGGGAAAAGCTTTTTCCTCTTGAAGAAAAGAGAGGGAAAATTGAAATTATTTAACACGGCTGATTAAACCCCATTGAAGGGTGGAAAAAAAAATTGGGGTCACTTGATAAAAGGAAAATGTATTGAAAACTTATCAGCCTTATGACGGCTGTCATGGGAGGTTATTAGAAGCCGCTACTTTGTCTGGCATTGTGTGTCACGTGCTGCATCCACCATACATCAACAACCAGTGGCCAGCCAAGGTTATCCAGGTATTTGTACCATGGCATTACAATGCAAACAAACAAATAAACAAACAGACAATCAAGCAAAATGCACTCACTGTCCTCTCCCTTGGTAGTTGCTTTAGTTGCTGACTTTCGGTATTCAGTTAAGGTTATTTCGCAGGTTGTACTACCAAAGCTGTTTGAAGCGTTGCACACGTACACCCCATAATCCTGCGCACTGCCAGGAGTGACGAAAATCATGTTGTTGTTTATGACCTTGATGTCGTCATTAATTGGATCCTGTCCATTCTTTGTCCACGAGTAGGTAACTGGAGAATCACTGGTTGCGTAGCAACAAAGACAACACAGCGTGTATTTTTCACATATTACGGAAGTTGGTGAAACGTGGTTCAGTATTCTAGGTGGCACTATATGTAGATTACAAAAAAGGAAATCATACTTGGTTCAATTACTTTATACCCACAACTACGACACCATATCTGGGCTTCGCTAAATCTATACATTGCAAAGTGAAAAAAACAATGATTAAATGAATAGATTGGCTCGTATTTAGTAGTCGTGCAGCTGCTACATAATCCTGCGCTACAGACGCATTCTTTGCACTTCTAAGTTTTACACTTCTATCACACAGCACATATTTTACACATCGGGCTCAGATTCTTAGTGATTTGAGGTTAATCACGCCATACTCTTTTTCGCAGCTCAATCAAAGATTGTCAGTTCTAAGCACTTAATTGATATTTACTAATAAGAAAAATATTGTAAAAAAAGACTTTTCTATAGGCCACTCTATTCAAGTTAATAAATAGATACTGAGGCAAAATAATTCACTCACCAGATGTGACTGATGGTATCACTGTAGTCACGTTAATCCTAGGAGGTCCTAACAAAAAAAAGATACAAAGTGCATCGTAGAAAGAAGAAAAAAATGAGCACTTTATCACATTTATCAGTTCCTTAGTATTGCATTGTGCATCCCTACTGAGCACGATTTTCGCGTCATTAGCGCGCGCACATAGGCGCGTGCGCGTACAAAACTTAAGACGTTTCCCTCAAACTAAGCTCGATAGCAAAATAAATGCTCGTTTTCTCTTAAACGAGCACGGTGACCCCCACCTTTCATTTCATAACTTCAATGAGAACAATATCCTCAATAACTGAGAAAAAATGAGTAGAAATCTATGGCCACTTTTTTGGCAAATGAAATAAATACTACAGAGGGAGACATAACGGGCCCAACAGCGCATGCCCAAAATATGTTTCCCTTAAAGGATAGAAATGCAGGGTATTTGAAGACATTTTTTCTGGGACGTAGGTGAATAAACAATCAAAGAAAGTCAAACTTTGTGTGATATAACACGCTGCATTGCAAAATAATAGAGCTTATTTGTTGCGTACGGAGATTACCAAAAGTCACCTAAATAACCGTATTTGTCAGCATTGTGGCGTGAGAGCAAGCACGGTGACCCCCTCTTTTTACTACGTTTTTAATATCTCCTTGTCCTGTGACAACAACAGTTTCATGGGAAATTTATAGCGGGTTCTTTTACTAGGGAATCACCTTAAGCAAAACGCTCAGTATAGGTTGTCATAGTCGAGTGACTGTACTCTCCTTCAAAGCAAATGCTCTGGATCCCCATGTGGTTGCTTCAAACCGACATACGTTCCTTTGAAGATATGATTGATCATCGCAGTTGTAAAAATCAGGCCTGAACAGGATTCGAACCCATGACCTCTGCGATACCGGTGCAGTGCTCTGCCAACTGAGCTATCAAGCCAACTGGGAGCTGGTCACATTGTGAGTTCGTATTACTCCCGTCGATGGCGAGGAGAAGAAGGACAGGAAAGATTTACCATTACTCCAAGCAAATTGGCTTTCCTTTCTTGAAATAAACCAACCACAGTCCTGCTTTCGTTTCCCTGTAAACTTACCTTGAAATCATTCTGACCTAAAATACATTTTACTTTCGAGCATCTACGAGGTACCACTGTACTAAAGTTCAAGATGCTGCACTGTGAATGATATATAGTTTCAAAATACCTTTGGGTTTTTCGCAGATATAGCCAAACTTCTTTTTGCAGCTTTCGTCATTCCAATGTGTCCTTTTCAACTCAACGCAGTCCTCGCCACCCTGATCATTTGGTTCCATTGGATGCCAGTTACTATACACTGAGGCATTGTAAGGTGTACCATCACTCCAAACAAATTGGCTTTCATTGCGTCGATCATTGAGCCCAATCCAGTAATGCTGATTCCAAACATTTAAAGATTTGTTAGAAACGAAGCTCATTTCTGATTGGTCTGTTATACTAACAAGGTCTCCACCAGAATCAAGGCAATTTCTACGAGCACTTTCCCAGTTGAGGTCTCGCATTGACGAGGACTGGTGAACAAACTTGTAACAAGAGTTGCCATATCCATGCCAGCCACCGGGACAATTATCTAAGGCTTGGGATACAAATTTCAAAACACAACTCAGTTTACTTTAAGTCAAAAGAGATGGATATAAGTACATGTATGGAGAACAGTACCTTACATCATTCCTCTAAAACTTTCAAATTTGTCACCAAAAGAAGAGCTAGGGAACTAATGCCTTATATGTTATTGGTTGCACTGGTGCAAAGAAAAGTAATTTTCAGGCTTGGTCTAGTCTTCAGGCAACCTATAATGTACATGTACTCACAATGTGTTAAGGTCTTTCTGTGTAATGGTTATGGTCTATTACCTAGAGGGTGTGTTTTTTTGTTTTGTGTTGTTTTGTTTTGTTTGTTTTTGTTTTTGTTTTTTCGAAATTAGCTGTTGTGATGAAATATTGGATCTTTTGTGAAATCTTAATGCAGATGATTAGTCAAGTACTTGAAAAGGTTGACTGAACACCGATCCATTCTAAGACTACTGTGGTAACGTCTGCCAATCGGGCAAAATAAAGCATTTTATTTCTTCCCGAAATGAATAAAAATGACAGTACCATACGCATACTCAACAACGATTGAGCGTGGAATTGGTCTTACTGAATGCTGAATGACTACGTGATACCCCCGTGCAACTAACCTGAATGACTGGATCCAGGGCTACTTTTACTCCCCTCTTTGAACCATGGCTCGATTTTTGCTTCCGTTCACAAACTTGCGTAAGTAACATGGTTGAAAGCATACACAACTACCCACTTTGTCCCTTTTTTGTCGTTTTAAGACAAAGGCAGGAAAAAAGTACTTTTTTCCTTTGACACAAATAAATGTGCAGTTGTTGTTGTTGTCGGCATCAGCTTTGTTAACTTTATTCAAGCCATGAATTGTTTCTTGATTCGAACAGCAATAGAAACAATCAATATATGGCCAACCATGTCAGCTCGTCAATGATACAATATCCTTTTGCTATAAATAAGTGACACCTATTTACTATTAGAAAGCTCAAATAATGTGCAATATCAAATATGGGTAACCTCAAAGTCTATATCGAATCTGCGTAACCTCAAAGTCTACATCCAGAATAAATGTTTCACTAGTGTGTTTTTGTGGCTACTTTTTACCTGTTTGGCTATTCTTTACCTGT